ACAAAAGAGGACCACCGTTACGTTCACATTAATTTTCAGTCTGTCTAGTGTCTAGTGAGGATGTCTTGAGCTAGTCTGGTTTATTTGGCACTTTGGCGTGCCGTTGGTTCACCTTTGTGCCCCAGTAGGTGTCACGCTCATACCCACAACTAGCAACTTGAATTGCTGCCTCAAGTGTGGTCGAATCATCGAGTGCTGGAGGTGGAGGATCATCCATCTTTTCTTTGTCGACCCCCGCCAGTATCTCAGATGCCGACTTCATGAATTCCACTGAATTCCCAAAGTTTGCCTTGAGTGATTTCCCTACCAAAACGATTGAAATAGCCAAATTAATAATGGTTTTCACACATGAAAACGGGATGTGGGAGGGCTTCTTTTCTACCATTCAATAATAGACGACTAAGCTTTCTTCCTAGATTAATGTCTGCTTCATCCGGTGATAGTCCATATATTACTTTTCGTCTATGAAAGCATCCTGTTCCACCATAGATGGGTCCTTGGATTCCTGCTATTCCATGCCCAAGAAAGAAATTGCATGCATGCATGTCACAAAGCATATATATAACAATGTATTTAGAGAGCAATTTCTGGCAAGAAATCAATTAAGTAATGAGAAATTAACAAATGCGTTTTCAGCTGATCGAGCTTGTTGTTATGTTAGTTCAGGTAAGGAAAGGTTGAAGTCGAAATTTGATTACTCACTTCTTGTAAGACTACGAGTTGATTTCCAAATGGGTCATCCTTTAAGCTACCATAGAACACCTGCGGAAACTGAACGTATGCACTTTCTTTTTCTTGTTGGAAACCGAACAGTAGGCAGATTGCATGAAGAACAGTCTGGGGGTCGGTGGCGAACATGTCACAGTCGACGTTCAGCATGAAAGGGGAGTTCGTCATGACTCCCGATACTCTAGTCTGCTCATATATATAAGAAAACCCAGCATAAAGTAAGAAAGCAACAACATTAATGGCTAACGAAACCCATATCCGAAAGAATTATTTATCATCAACTTTTAATTAACCTCGATCAGGATTTATGAATTCATCCTAGCTAGATTTCTAGCAATTAAGAATCAATTAAGCTCTGTTTCTTAAAATCCAAATTATTGGGCAACAAATATAAAACCAAAACAATTCACCAGATGAACAAATTTCTTATTAATTTTATGTTTAAACGTGCGTCAAGGTCCTTTGGCTATTCATCTTGAGAGGGAGAACACTGATGAACTTATTTCATCTTACCAATACATTCATAGCTCCTGCTTTGTAGTGATGAGGATGCTTTGGCCGCTTCTCTCTGGACACATAAACGAGATGTGGTAACCCATCCGGAAGATTTCCCTTATTCTCCCATATGACCTACAAACGATCTACCAGGTAAGGGCCACCTATATATATATCAAGAATATATAATTTACTACAGAATTGATGACCACAGAAGAACATATATAATTGGATTTACCTTCACTATGCTCGGATGGTTTCTGCGATCTATTTTAGAGAAAGCTGCAAATTCCCCTGCTAGATCACATAGAATGGGGCTTTGAACTACCTCTTCAATTCTTTGCCTAAGTTGTTCATATTCTTTGAACTACCTCTTTAATTATTGTATATATAAATAATTCTATACATAACTTTGGCTCGATTCATGGCCAAGCCTAACTCAAGGCTCGACCCACGGACCAATTTGGCCCGCTAAAATTAGGGCATTTAGCGGTAGTCGTAAGCTTCCACTAAAGACCAACTTCCAAGTGACAATTTTATCTTTAGCAGTAGTCCCAGTAAAGGGAAGAATTGACTGCCGCTATAAGTTTGGTGCACTTTTCTTGGCGCATTTTTTTTT